GATGTGCTGCCTGGCCGAAGCTGCCTGGGTCAGGGTGCTATCCAAACACGCCCTCATTTTTTACTGCCTGGGTTGGATGCACCTGCCCGGGCTAGAGTCCCCAGGTGAGGGCTCCATCCAAACAAGCCCATAGCCCATAATAACTTCTTGACTTGATCTTTATAAAATTATAGTCCATCTTTTCTATCACTGGATGATGGGTACTGCGGCAAGTGGCAAATCTATTTGTGCTGGAGGAAAAGGATGAAGTGAAATTATTTGATACTATATAATCAAATTTACAGCCGTCACATTTATTGCTATAATTTATTGAGTTTGGGTATACTTTATATCCTCTTAGGATCACATGGGATGAGCTCACTTGACAATATTTTTTTTTCGTTGGATAAGTTTTTTTTTTTTTGCCTTTTCAACCAAGTGGCTTCTATCTGCGTGTTCTTCACCATGAGATGAAAACAGGACATGGTTAATGCGCGATCAGTCAGTTCGACTGATTGTGTGGCCCGTGCCTCTTTCCTTTCCTGTTTCAAATCACTGGCGCAGGTTCCCTGCGACCCTGCCAAGATGAGTCCACTGGTTTCAATGGTCCTCCCTTAGGCCTCCCCTTCACACCTCTGCCTCTTCTGTGCCTCCTGCACCATGGTACATTGTGTTGTCCTCCCTGCACCTGCAGGCTGCAGCACGCACGCGTATGCCCATAGGATCTGCAGGAGAGCTGCATGTCATTTCATTGAAGAAAAAATGTACAAGGAGAGATCAAGAGGCCACTCCAAGACCCAACCCGTTACATTACATTAGCACCTATTACAAGACTGAAACAAAATACAACCTCGACCAAAAAAAAAAAATCTCCTGACTTTGCGTTGGCCTCATGGAAGGAGCCAACTGACAAGTCGCTTGAGAAGCTTGAGTCATGTAGCTGGAGTTCAGGGGAACCTTTTTCTGTCCTTCCTAATTACCCCCTTTCTAGTTTCAATATTTGCATTCCTGACTTGTAATGATAACTTCAGTTTTTGATTTTTGGTGGCACACTGGCATCGTGATCCTATACATTCATCTTCACATTGAAAGTTCCTACCATTTTTCTTCATGTAAAATACCATATAGTAACTCAGATTTTATTGACTTTGATAGCAATTTTAGTTACTACATGGGTGGTAGCAAACCGTATAAGTTATGTGCGACTACTTACTATGGTGCCACTTTTTGTGCATGCTGCGTAGCGATTTCAGCAAATGTTTGGTGCTGACTTGAATGAATGACGTAGTATTTGGAGACCGTGGATCAACCTTATTTTTGTCTTCTAGTGATATCAACTTTAGTAAATGTTGGGTAACAACTTATGTGGAGACAGTTTTACCACCTCATTGAGTGCCTTTTGCTGCAACTTCCACGGATGTATCAACTTTAGTGAATACTGTGTCAACTTATATCGAGACTGCAATTTCAGACAAGGCAATAAACTCCAGTGATTACTTTGATAGCAACTTATGGCGGAGAATTGATTAGTTATGCTTAACCTGCTAGTGTTGTTACTTGTAAACTACTGCAACATATAGAATATCTTCCTATCTATGTAATATGAACACCATTTCATTGGACTCGTAAGTAACATAATGGTGCAAAAGGAAAAAAGGGTGTATCCGGTCTGAGAGAGCTCCTGCCTGCATGGAGTGCGGGGAAGGTGTCGAGTGTGGCAAGCCTTACCTCGCTTTGTGCAATGCGAGGAGACCGCGACTCGAACCCGAGACCTTTTGGTCACAGGCGGTAAGACTCTACCGCTTGCACCAGGCCCGCCCTTCAATGGTGCAAAAGGAAATGAAAGAAAAAAGGCATAATGTAAGAATTATCATCATTTAAAGCAATTGACAAAAGCTAGTTCAACAGGCTTAATCGTTCTGGCTGCTAAACTAACCATCCTGGCCAGCAACCTGTCCTCAGCTCCTTGGCCTAAATCAAGAAAATCTTCCCTTGGTTCCTTTCTAGTCTATACATGGGTCCCAGGTTGTGGTGCACTATGGTCGCATGCTTCACTCGTAGTGACAGAGTGTGCTGTAGTCTTTCTGAAGAAAAAATAAAGCACACCAAGTCTGGAAGCTACCACATAAGATGGGGTCTGGAAAAGGGAATTTTTTAAGGAGGTTGATTTGGAGCTTGCTTATTTTCAAGGAGGTTGATTCTTCACTATTAGATAGATGAGTACAGTGCTTTGAGCAACATTTTTTGCATTTTATAACAGATGTGTTCCTGATATTACAGTAGAAGTGATTTACTTTGCTCAAAATTACCTCTGTACCATGCCTTTAGTTGCAGGTGACTTCCCTTTCCTGCATTTCGTGGGTTCTAACCATGGCCAGTCAATCATTTGGCGTTTTGTGCTTAAGGATGTCTTAAGTCCTACTGTGACTTGTGGTTAATAGTTTGTTTGTTTGCCCAGTGTTTTATGCAAGTAATAAGAACTTTAAATTTGTTTATAAACTACTAAATCCGACCCAAATTATAAGACGTTTTGGCTTTTCTAGATACATTACTTTTACTATGTATCTAGACACAGTGTATATCTATGTGCATAGCAAATGCAACGTATCTAGAAAAGCTAAAACGTCTTATAATTTGGAACGGAGGGAGTATCTGCCAATCTACACTTCAGCTCATTTTGTATATTTTAGATACCTTGTGCACTAATGATACCTACTAGTTTTTTTAAGAACGCAGGAGAGCTGCGTGTCATTTCATTAATTAAGGTAGGAATAGACACGAGTACAAAGAGTCAAGCAGAAAGCCCAACCCGAGCACGAACACCCATCCACAAGGCCACAACCAAGCATCCCCCCACTGGAATAAAAGACTCACTACAAAAAAATAAATAAAAAAGGCCTGACCAAAGACCACCCAAAAACCTAAACACTATGTAGCAATGTTTTTAAGGTGTCGCTTTGGCGTCGCCTAATCGGCAAGGCGCTACAGGCGGGACGACTTGGCGGACGACTCGCCTCAGATTGGTATGGCGTCCGCCTTACTACCATGGCGTCCGGAAGTCGTCGATTTGGCGTCCGATTCGTTGAAATCGAGCAAGGCGGGCGCCATACGGGGATGGCCACGGTAGGAAACGGCGGGGAAAACTGAGAGAGAAGGGGTGCGCAGGAGAAACAGAGCGCGCCGGAGGGAGAGAGAGAGAGAGAGCGGGCGTGCAGGAGATTCACCAGCAGGAGAGCGGGAGGGGAACCAGAAGCCGCAGCTCGCCCGTGCAGACGCGTTCTCCCGCGTCGACGGGAGAAGTTGCTGCCCGCCCGCCGCCGAGCCGTGCGGCCGCCTGTGCGGGCTGCGGCCATGTTCCCCCAATCGGCGTTGATCTGCAACATCTTGCCTCCCCTGTTCCTCCATCGAGCTGCAGCGTCCAAAGCCCTTCTGTTCCTCCGTCTATCAAGCAAGAAGAGCAGCACATCTGGAGGAGAGAGGGAAGCAAGAGACAGAGAGGGGTGGAGGCGGAGCGGCAGTGGAGAACGAGAGAGAGAGAGAGAGGTGCGGCGGCGCTGGAGAGAGAGGATTGGGAGTTCGAGAGATGAAGCAGGAAGGTCAAAGGTGAGGGGTATATGGGCTGCCTGGTGGGCTGGGCCAGACTACTTCTTGCTCCTTCTCCTTTCTTTTTCCTTTTTCCTTTTTGTTTTTCTTCATTATCTACCACTCTAAGCTGCTCTTTTAAGATTCCCTTAAGATGTTAAGGCGTCGCCTCGCCTCACGCCTTAGTCGCTTAAGCGTAAGGCGGTAGTCAGTCGCCACGCCTCGCCTTACCGCCTTGAAAACATTGCTATGTAGTTAGCATCCCAGCGAGGAGGGCCTGGAGCTTGGAAGCTCCAGCCCAGCACCATATGGTGCTTTCAACAGCACTTTCAGCAGCACTGATGATACCTACTAATTATCTAAATGAGCATGTCCTTATCTGATGGGGACATACTAATTATCTAAGTGCCTGTAGTTCCATAGATTTCTGGGTATAAATTATAGCATGAACAATATTGCTTGAATATCTTGTTTTCAGTGTGCCTTTAATTTTATTAGTTGCTATGTCTAACTTTCATCAGTAAGATTGTTACTGATCATTAACCAATTACTACATCCGTTAGCCTTATCTTCTGTTTGCTTCAAACCATACGTTTTATGTTTTTTCTGCATTCCATTTTTTAATTTTAACCAATAAAATATATTTGAGATTTTTTTCTCTCGAACAAGCAAGAGAGCTGCTTATCATTATATTACAAAGAACAAATAAAGGGGAAAGAGCCCTTACAAACACATACTCATACCCAAGGCAACCAATAAGATATTTAAGAAATCATACTAGCAAAAGGCTGTTTGTCACAGAAACATCCTTTCATATCCTAATTTTGGCAATTTTAGTTTCATATTATGAATGAAAATATAACGAAAAAGTTTCTTTGTGATCCTTTGTGAGGTAAAGAGAAACAACTCCTATTAGGACCAAAGGAAATTATCAACTAATAGAAGAAGAAATATCATGGAGAAACTGAGTGTATGAGCTAGAAAGACTCAAGTACATATGCACAGCACCTGGCTTGGTGTTATTAACATGTGATGTGAGATTGATCAGTTATTCCATTTAAAATTGTGTCACTAATCTAAAATATGTTTTCCTTTTTTTTTCTCCGTGATTCAAAGGTTATGTGTCATAGATGTAACCAGTAAACCAGATCTGCCATACAAAGGTCATGTTGTTGAGCTGTATCGCCAATAAACTGGGGGTCCCTTAAAGTAACTGATATTTTCCTTGTGTGTTGATAAAATCTCTTGCAGAACTATATTACTAATTTAATTTGTATTGTACTATAGGCCATATTGCTGAAGGGGCACACCCCCTTTGTACTCTCAATGCTACTGGATCAACGAAAAGAACCATTAGTAATGTGAAAAGATCAGAAAGGGCTGCTCGCGGATTAGGAAGAAATTCAAAGAATCAAATTTGGAAGAGGGTAGGTCCTAGCATGGTGGAGGGCCATGGAAGTCTTTTTGGTGCACAGAATACAGACCGGATTCTATTACACATTGAAGGAGATGCTTCTGAAAACTTCATTCCTCACACGTTTGAGTCAGAAGTACCAACAAGCATTGAGGGAATGCAGGGAGCATGTAGTGAGAGATCAAGATCCAAAAGTCTTGCTGTGAAAGGTAATTCAAGTTCCTCTGCCATGCCCCCAACTCAAGGAGCCAAGAAAAACAAGAGTACTGTTGTCAGGAATCAGCTGCATGAACCAACACAAGAATTTTCAATTGCAAATTGTATCCATGCAATGCGAGAAATGGTTGGTTTGAGTGATGAAGAAAAGGTGCTGTCCTGTGATCTCTTTAGAGATGCTGTGAACCGAGAGATCTTCCTCTCCCTTGATGGAATGCTTCGAACTATGTGGCTTAAAAGGCAACTCACCAAAAATCGCTGGGAGTAAAAATTGGTAAGTATTATGATATCTGTTCATTTCTGTTCGACTTGTATTCTCATATGGTCAACATAGTCCAATAATTGTTTTTGAAGATGTTCTATACTATTCACTAAGGTTCTTTTGAATGCCTAAAATAGATTGTGCATTTGATTGATGCTTGATAGTACAAGGATCTGAACATGTTCAAGGGCCTCTTTGGGTTGTGGATTCCTTGAAATTATTGTTGATTTCTTGCTAATCTTGTAGCTCTTTGCAGTCAGTTTGGCTATATATATCTAATTCTGACTTGATAAGGTTAACATAATTCATCTCGGTTGAGTTCTGCTGCTGAAACAGAGATTTATTGTTAGCTTAATAAAAAGAATATTGGGAGTATGCTGAGCATGGCATGCTTAATGTGATCCAAATGACATGGTTGTTCTTAAAGAAAAAAATGCTTTTCGCCATATCATAATTTTGGTATATGATATTTTGAATTTATTATTAATATATGGAAAAGTTTTTGTCATGCTCCTTTGTGAACTAAAAGGAAACAAGACCTTTTCTAGACAAAAGGAAGTGCCAGTTGCAGATGATAAAGTGTCATTGATACAAATTGAGTGTATGACAATATCCAAATAGAGTGCTTCTACTTTGTGTGACGTGTCATGTCAACTTGTTTGATAACTGATTGGTTCTTCTTCCATTTTTAAACGAGTTATATGATGCAAATTTGAAACTATGGTTTGATGAACTGAACTGCTCAATATTTGCCCTGATAAAGGTCATTGAATTGCTAAACTTGTCAGTTGCCACTGAGATCAGATACAGGCACTACAATTGGACTTCTTGTGTATTGCTGGTATTTTGTTGATTTTGTTGTTTTCATCTGATAACGCTTGAGATGATTCAATGTCGAAGGTTAGTTTTGTAGAGTCTGAATCTAATGTTCATTTTTGAAGCAAGTGGCAATCTGTTAGTGGTAACTATAACTTTTTTTATTTTTATTTTGCACCAGTCAGTAGTGCAAAGTGGTTTGACTGATGGGTTTATTACTTTATTTTCTACACAGGTACTTAAAAAATTTCTGTCGTGGCTTGCTGAGCTGCACAAATGTTTTATCGGAACTGGCTCGATGTTTACATGTACTAGAGAACTACGAGGTGGTCAAGTGGACTTGAAGGAATTGGTTGCCTGATTCGCTGGTTCCCTCTGTTGTATCATTATCTTTAGTCATTAATCAACGGGCACAGCAATTTTGATGGACTACGTTGTCTGCCAACGTCACTTGTAAGTTAGGAGTAATGAATTGTTCGGGTACGTGGTCAGTTTACCGTCCCGTGTTTCTTAGTTGGCTCTTGTTAAGGACACGTGTTTACTGTTTGGAATGCTGAATGAATTGCTGATGGGGCCGGAGGCCCTAACGCCGGATACATTATGGGCACACATGAATGGAGGACCATAGAATGAAAAGATATACAACATAACATCCCCTTCAAACTCAAAGTGGATCATGAAAACTAAGTTTAGAAAGATAAAATCGATGTTGAGCTCTTGTTTGTGCCATTGTGAAGAAGTTTGCCAACTGAAGCTTTGCAGGTACATAGCAAAGAGTAATAACATTATCTTGCACTTGTGTCCGGGTGTAAGAGATATCAACACCAATATGTTTTGTGAGCTCATGCTTCATTGGATTACGAGCTATGCTGATAGCATTGGCACTGTTAGACAAAAAAGGAATTGGCACAACGAAGGAGATGACTATAGTGGAGCTGACTTTGAGCAGAAACAATTTTTTTTGAGAGCGTGCTTAGCAAGTATTTCATTAAGAGAAGTTAGAAAGTTTAATACACGTCCAACCAACAACACTTCATGGCGAGATGCCATAGGTTTCTGGGTGAACACGAACACAAGGCACCACTAGATGGTGGATTACAAATGGTTGTAACTTAGACACTAACTGTGCGACCGAAGGGGAAGAGGAGTAGGCGCTAGCGGTCCCTGATACCGAAGGCCGTCAGTGAAGCTTAGATAGACAAGACTCCCAACAATGTGGTAGTATCATATTGGATTAGCAAGAGCCTCACCATCAGTGGCACTAAGATGAAGATTAATCTCCATGGGTGTCTCAACAATGCGATGATCAGTGAGAGAAGCACAGTCAAGATCATCAATGTACTTGACAGGTAAAGACCTTCAGGCGTGGAAGAAATTTCGATCCAATCAGACATGAGAAATTGCTTATTGAGGCGTGCCTGCACAAAAGCAATGTAGGATCAAGAGCGGTACCGATCCAGAATGTTTTTCCCCGCCACCTCTGTTCATGGCTGCTTTCCCTCTCAACCCTAATAAAATCTAAAATGTCACCCAAATCCCTCAGTTAATCTGCATGACTAATTGACATATTTTAGTGGCTTACAACAAATAACATGAGTGATGGAGCTAGCTTGCATGCATGACTATCGAGCACCAGCGGACTCTGAAGACCCCGAGCGCCCTCTTCAGCCATCCGCTGCATCCAGGCCCATCGGGAACAGGAGGCCCAATCCATCGGTGCACGGCCCAGAGTGGAGCGTGTGAGAGAGTATACATATTATTGTACTGAAGTGAGGAAGAGAGGACAGGAAATTCGTAAACTCTGAAAACTCCCTAAGAACTCATCTGAGATTCCCCCTCCTGCTGATCTTCTTCCTCCCCACGTTGCTTGTTCTACCTTCCCCCTCTATCCTAACAACTGGTATCAGACTACCTGGTCCTGGATCCCGATCCCCCTCACGACCACTTCACCCGCCTCCAACGTGCTCGGGGCGTCATTGATCTGAACCTCAAGCTCGTGCTCGACGAATTAAATCATCGATTCGATGACCAGGATAAGAAGTGGGAGCTCCGCTTCTCCAATCTCGAGCAGGCGCACTCCGCTCGCAAGCAGGCCGTCGATCTGCGCTTCGCCAAACTCGAGTCCACCGCCGCGACTCTTGACGCCAGCCGTGCCGCGCTCGCCGAGGCCGACGTTGCTGCCCGCCTCACCAACCTGGAGGCCGTCTGCTCAATCATGCCAACTCCGTCCAAATCCGCCTCGCCGCCCTCGAGTCAGTCCGCGTCGACGACATGTTCTCCAAAACCGCCGATCACGTCATGACCCTGGAGGTGGCAGCCACGGATCTGGGCACCTGGTGTCCTGAGGTCGAGGCTCTCGTCGACGACCTCAAGTTGGAGGTCCAGAAGATCTCGAAGACCTAGGATCAGGCCGCCCCTGACTCGTCTTCACATCCGCCTGGGTTCCTTCTTCACCTTGTCGAAGCTGGACCCGGCCTCCTCGACCTTCCTTCATCGGTGACCGGGTGTGCCTCTGCCGGAGTCAGCGCTGATGGGCCCAATAGGCACCGCATTCCGACCTCTCCACGGGATGTTGGGACCGGGTCGCCCGTCCTAGGTCCTGGCCAATGGTACGAACTCTTCTCCTTCCATCGTTCATATTCCGCAATTCGCACCTATGCCTCGTCCTCCACCACCCGCACCCAATCCTCATCTCGGTAGATTTCCTAAGCTCACCTTTTGCCCGTTTTAATGGTGAGAACCCTGTTCATGGCGTACTTTGGCTGACGATTATTTTTCCATGTACGGGGTAGAGTCACCGATGTGTATTCGGGTATCTCGTCAACATTTCGATGGTCCGGCCAAGAGTTGGATTAATTCCATTGAGACTCAGCTTCTGCATTGCACTTGGTCTGAATTCTGTACACTCCTTGAAAGGTCCTAATATGGCTAGAGAGGGGTGAATAGCCTATTTAAAAATCTATAAATCAACTAGAGCAATTTGATTAGTATGACAAATAGCGAAAAATAAACTTGCTCTAGCTCTACAGGGTTGTAAGTCACCTATCCAACAATTCTAGTTACTATGATCACTAAACACATAATTTACTAAGTCACTACTCACTAAGAGCTCTCACACTTGCTACACTAAAGAGCTCTACTAGATGAACTTAAGCTATAAAGCAAGCTCTCAATTCTAGCTACACTAAAGAGCTTGCTACAACTAGTTTGCGGGAATGTAAATGAGTAAGTAAGGTGATTGTACCACCACGTAGAGGAGTGAACCAATCATAAGATGAATACTAATTCAATCACCAGGAGAATACCAAAGGGCAAGAGACAACTAATGTTTTTCTTCTGAGGTTCACGTGCTTGCCGGCACGCTAGTCCCCGTTGTGTCGACCAACACTTGGTGGTTCGGTGGCTAAGAGGTGTTGCACGAACCTCATCCACACAATTGGACACCGCAAGAACCTACCCACAAGTGAGGTAACTCAATGACACGAGCAATCCACTAGAGTTACCTTTCGACGCTCCACCAAGGAAGGCACAAGACCCCTCACAATCACCGCGATCGGAGCCAGAGACAATCACCAACCTCCGCTCGACGATCCTCGCTACTCCTAGCCATCTAGGTGGCAGCAACCACCAAGAGTAACAAGTGAATTTCACAGTGAAACACGAACACCAAGTGCCTCTAGATGCAATCACTCAAGCAATGCACTTGGATTCTGTCCCAATCTCACAAAGATGTTGAATCAATGAAGGAGATGAGTGGGAGGGCTTTGGCTAAGCTCACAAGGTTGCTAAGTCAATGCAAATGGCCAAGAGGGTGAGCCAGAGCCGGCCGCATGCCTTTAAATAGAGCCCTCAACGAAATAGAGCCGTTAGGCTATCATTGCAGCCCAACTCGGGACGACTGGACGCACCGGTCAGGTTGACCAGATGCTGGACCCCAGCGTTCGGTCGCCTGATGATCGCCACGTGTCATCAACTTCAAATGCTGAGCGCCCGATTTTAACTGCTAGTCTACTTCGCGCCACGTGTTAAGTTGCGACCGGACGCGTTGCTCAAAGTGACCAGATGCTCCATCACTGGAGTCTAGTCGTTTCCAGTAAGGTTCCAGAGACGGTTTTTCGCGACCGGACGCGTCCGGTCATGACCGACCGGACTCGCTCAGCGTCCGATCACTCATCCTCTTCTCTGTGCGT